ACACACACACACACACACACAGACACACAGACACACACACACAAGCTAATAATGCAAATATGTTGTAGCTAAAATAAGAGAAATCTTAATATTTACAACTTTCCCTTCCATTGCTGATTCCATAATTTCTTTTGATTTGAATAAATGATCTTATGACTTACGACTGGATGGGGAATTCTTTGCATTCCAAATGTGTACACAACAGGTCATCTGGATGCATGTAAGTCATAAGTGAGACCAAAGAAAAATAGGATTAGGACCTCCTAAGCATAATGCTCGGTACTAAGGTCAATAAGAATTCAAAATATGGCTTTGTGGATGGGTCCTTTACAGATTCAGCTGTTATGAGATGTGCTGTGTCATCACGATGAAACTGTAATACATACATACACACATAAAATTACAAGTCTTGGAAAGCAGGTTCCAAAAAGAAAGTGTTCGGTGCTGCAACTTTTGTAACCTTATCACTTTTGATTCAGTAAGATTATATTGAATTTCTCAGTAGCCCGATACTAATACAATCATACCCTTCTCTTTTATCGTCAAAATGTATTTATGCACCTATGAACATTTTTGCATGTATGCATGTATTCATAGACTCATTCGTTTATTCATTTATTCAATCAACCAGTCAGTCAGTCAGTCAGTCAATCAATTTCTACAGCCACCCATTTCGGGAAAGTGACTCTGCTGGCAAACAGTCATAAAATCAGCTAAAACAAAGTACAAACACGATAATTATATGCAGCCGTGGTCTGGTTTCTGGACGGTGGTTGCCTTTCGTCTATGGGGTGGGTCTGGTGAGGGAGATTGGTGGTGGCGTCATGTGTTGTTTTGGGTCCGGTGTTGGTTTTCGTGGCTGGGATTCGTTTGTTGATAAGGGCTAGTTTCCCGATGTCTGGAAGGCAGGAGGTATCATCCCGTTTATTCATCTTATGGGGGTGTTTCTCTATTTCGATGGCTTCCCTGATCATTCTCTTGTTGAAGTGTTCAGTGCAAAAATCTAGATAACTACGGTATTATATGACAGCAGAGGGGTTCAGAAAATTGAAACGCTTTGCTCTCTGGGTTTTGGAAGGAAAGTTGGCAGCAAATGGGATTGTCCATACTTCTCCCTCAGCTGTTTCCCTTTAAGGGCCCCGCCCTTACCATTTTTGGAGAGCAAAACCTTTCAAAAGGGATGGGGAGAGAATGAAAAAGAGAGAATCTGAGCAAGGAAAGAATCTGAGCAAGGAAACAGCCATACCTGATGGGGAAGGCAGCCACGAGTCTTGGCACATCAGAGGCAGCTGTGGAACATCCCCAGCTACAGTGAAGGATATAGTCACGAGCTACTTGCAAATGGTCAGGGGTTGTTTATCTCAATGCACACAAGCCCCAGAAAATAATTAGCAAACACTGGGGAATTTCAGCAGGTAGGACTAAGTTATGGTGACTTCCTCACCCCCTAGTGATATTATTATACAACCCATCGTTTACATGTCTGCATTGTGATGCAGCTGTGGGATGAGCCTTTCATGGTGATCTCACTGCATATGCTCAGATGCATGAAAGTCTATACCCGGGGTGTCCAACCTTTTAAGACTTGTGGACTTCAACTCCCAAAATTCTGGTGAATACCAGTGGAGGTATGTGAAGTTGCTCTGATTTCTGCTTATTTCTATCCTCGCCAAACAGTGATTTTCCCAAAGGTTGTCAGTTAACCAACGTTACAAACCGTTTGCGAAAGCCTATCAGGAAAGAATGCGTTTTTTTCCCCCCACAGGAGGTTCATTCACATTGCAGTAGATTCCATGATACTCCAGTCCTGGTTAATAGTCCCTTTTCTTGGCCGTGTTTCACGTCCGTGGGAAACGGGCTGGCTGCGCTTTACACTGCATATGGACCGTCTTAAGGAACCCAGACGTTTCCAGAGCTTAAGCTGTGGTTCAGTGGCATCTTCAAAATGGTAGGGCATGCACTCGTGCGGTCTGTGGAAAGACGGATCAAGTGCTGCTGGCTTGCACAAAGTGACAAAAAGGAGACCGATGGTCAGGAGGAGAAAAATACAGACGAGGGTAACGATGATAGGCAAGGAATCCAGGTTCTGCTCAGTTGGCTCTGAGCTCAAGAGAGCCAGCTCCGTGGTTGCATTGAGTAATTCAGGGACACCTGTATTTGACAGGGTCTC